CCCTCCCTCCCTCCTTTAAATTATTGTTGAAAGAAAACTGTTTCAGAAGTGATTTATGTTTGGGCTTCATTTTTAAAAAAAAAAATGGAAGTAGTTTTTCAATGCTGTGATCCTTGAACTGTTCAGCTCTTATAAAGAAATCTAATATAATTACATGGAATTCATCAATAATCTTTCTAGAAGAAAAATTCAGGCAATGGGAGTAAGAAAGCAGCATAGATGTGTAGAAACTGTTTCCTAATGGGTGGATGAATGCTGAGTAAATACAGAGAGCACATTTAAAGAATGTTTTTGTTCAAAATACTTTACATTCAAGAACTTTGTAATTTCTATTAAAGTGATAATTTGGTTTAGTATTTCATCTTTTTTTAGAGACCTAATGTCTTTGAACCTTATTGGTTAGTAGATGAATGACTTCTTGCTAGTGACTGTTGCTAACTAGAAGCATAGAAGGGTGAGCGTCTGAATATAATGTGTATAATTAGTGTATTAATAGAAAGTTTATGAATAGTGGATTTTATAACCAGTTTATACTTTAATTGATAATAAATTAATAAAGCCCTTCAGTAATTCTGAAGTGTTTTACTTTTGTTTTTCTTATAACTGTACTTCTAAAAAGAAGCCTGTGGAATTTATTGTTTTGTAGTAGGAGTATGTTTTGTATTCCTAGTGTGGAAGGTGGGAAAAACAGTAATTAGAGGAGTTTTTTAGCTTTGTGAATTTATATTTTTAATACAAACTGTAAAGGTGATATACAGAGGGTTTACAATTACATAAATCAGGTAATGAGGACATACCTTTTTAAGCAGTGTTACCCCCTCTCTCATTTTTTCCCAGTTTTCCCCTCCTGACCTCCCGCCCCCCAATAGAAGTTTTTAAATATCCACTTATGATTAGGTCAGTTATATTAGTAATTTCCTTAGCAATGCTTCACTTCTTTTACCTTGAATTGTACAGATTTAATCATAACTGAAAGTAAAAGCTAACAGTTTCAGTATCTTTCCTGGAAAATGGCAAGTTGCGGGTGTTACATCCTTGAACCTGCAGTGTGAGAAAGGAGATTTTAATCACGTCTTCTGAGGCC